CATATTTATACATATTTGCAGGAACAGTTATGCCTTACTCCTGCCTATATTCATACTACTATTTCTATAGGCGCGCTCTTTTACCTCATTTTTACTGACTCTTATTTTACCGCACTAGGATGACATAAGAATTTATAATTTTTATAATTCTATAATCCTTCTTCCTTAAATTATTCCCGAAATACATAATTTCTTTATTTCTTCCCGTCTTCTATCTCTTCTTTTCTTTCCTTTCTTATCTTAAAAACTTGTACATACACACACATACACACACACACACACACACACACACGAACACACACACACACATGCACACATACACACAAACACACACACACACAAAACCTCTATCTAAATTATCTTTGTTACCACAATCGTCGTACTGAGGAGGTCCAATTGTGGTAACGGTAAGAAATGTATACGACTTAATGGACCAAAACATTTCTTACCAATTACAAATATTTCCCATTCCTTTTTCCACTTCGTTCTCCTTCTTCTTCCTTCTCCTCATTTTCTACCTTACCTTTAAATACGCAACTTAATGGATCGAAACGTCCTTAGCTCAGCTGGCAATAACATATAGATTTACAAGAGCGATTATGCTTTATTCCTGTATATATTTATATTACTATTTCTGTATGCGTACTCTTTTACCGCACTTTTACTGACTCATCATATTTTACTTACCTTGCGAAAGGGTGAGTCGTTTTTCGGGTGAGCTAACGATAGCCTGAGTGATGAGATCGGCATAGGACATATTACCCCAGGCGTTACGACGTGTTGTTGATTTTTTATTCGGTGTTACGGCACTCGAATCGGACGTATCAGATGCGGCACTGGATGCAATCACTGGACCCGCTGAATTTGCTCCGCATGGCAATGGTGACGAGATCCTGCAGGAAAAAAAAAACCATCATTCTCTGGAAAATCTGACCACAACACTGAAAAGGTACACACTTCTACCGCTTTTAGAAAAGAACGTTTGGAGATAATAAAACGAACGTCAGGATCGTCAGCAGACTGATCATCACCGAGTGATAATCCATCAATGGTCAAGGCAACTGGAAAAGTTGCCAGACGTACAACTGGAGAACAGCAACAACAAACTGTAGATGACCAACGTACCTGGCAAGCTGCAGATACATATTTCATTTGCGTCCAGCAGTATCATCTAATTTCCTCACGAGAAATGAAATCGAAAGGGAGGGCGAAGAGCGGAAATGCAGTCTCAGCAAGGCAGATATGTGATTTGTTCTTCTACAACTGTATTTGCATGAAGCCGTCTTCGCCAAAAAACCAAAGCCCCGCAGCTTGCGAGGCTCATGGATGCGCAGCAGTATCCTTGCAGCAGGACAGCGATAGATCAGTGGCGCCAGCTTGACAAAAATTCCAGGAATTCCTCCAGATGCGCGCATGATGATTCACATCCGCCTTATCTGCTGTACCTCACGAAAATGCTTACACATCTCGACCTCATATATACACACCCACAACTGAGTCATCCCCCAATGCCTCACTTTTAGCCTCACAAAAATGCTTACCCGGGCGAAAAAGCGCCGCTTTCGGGCGAGCCCATCAGTGCCGCTGCGGAACTGGCCCCCAATCGACCATTGCTCACATTTTCGGCGCTATCATACAGACTGAAAAATTAACAAACTTCATTGGAAGCTACATATTAGCATGTATATGAAAACATCTATGGTTTGCCTCTATAAGGATAAGATCTGATAGGCAATATACGCTGTGCGCCTTGCTGACACAACGGTGAATGTGGCGCATCAATGAGTTATATCCATGAGAAAAGTAAAATCCACTGGACTGGATGTACTCTTTGTTTTGCTGGACATCACGCATTAGTGAGTGGTGGTGCACAGAGGAAGGAAAATGACCCCTTCGATTATCCCACGGGGACAGTGCGTGTGTCCGCAAGTTATGCAACAGATACAAACAACAAAAGGGATGAAATTTCGGAAATGAATTCTTAGCACAGTTATGCTCAGTATGAAGCTGCATTATATAAGTGCCAATTTAACTAACTTAAAGGATCGAAACGTCTTATCTCGCTCTTCTCTAATTTACATTACTTCTTTCTCCTGACCTGCCTCATACCTTGCCATCTGCATTTCCGGCGTCAACCTGGATGCTGCAGTCTGCTTAACATCAAAACAAAACAACGAAATGTGGGACGATCGGTTTCCTGTTGCGAATTCGAATCAACGTCCCTTACCCGACATAAGGTGACATGTGTCCTCCGCTTCCAAGTCCACCAGTATTCATGTGTATGTATGTATATGTGTGTATATTTATATGTGTGTGTTTATATACATTTATTTATTTACTATTAAATGCAAGGTTACTTA